AATAAAATATTCTGTTACAGCAGCCTGTATGTCTGAGATACCCTCCACCTGGAGTCTGGTTACTTTGGCCTGCCTTCAGCAAGGGTCCTGTTAGATCAGCTTAACCAGAACCCCACCTGGCCCCAGATATTTCCTCTTGGTCATTTCCATTCACTGACCCTCACCTGCTCCTTGGCTGTAAATTCTACTTGCCGGTATTCAGGGTATAATTGAGCCTGACTGCTCTCTCTTAGTAAAAAACACCACTGTCATAGTGCCCTGTGGAACTACTAAGATAGATACCCTGGAGTAAAGTCTGCCTTCCCATGTTTAACAAGTGTCATGGAATTTTTTTTTTCTTACAGGGAGTTACAACAGGCATGTAGCAAGTAGAGGCCAGAGATGCAGCTAAATGCCCTGCAATGCACAGGACAGCCCAGGAATAAAGAACTATCCAACCAAGAGCTGTGGGTGAAACACCTGCTCTAGGAAAATGCAAGTCATGCTGTGATAGTCATCCTGCCCCTTGTCCCAAACAACAACAGCCAGGACATTAATAGCTGCCGACATTGACTTGCTTTTGTGGGCCAGTCACCGGGTCAGGTGCTTAGCATGCATTCATTAGATGGCTGGGAAGAACCTAACAAGGCAGCTTTCATTGTCTGAGTTAAGGAGGATCAGAGAACCAAGACAAAGGCCTGTATGCAGGTGAAATCAGGTTAGTATGAAAGACTTGGACACAAATATTTACTGTGGCCTCATGCATAATTACTCCAAACTGAAACAACCCATGTGTCCATCAGCTTGTTGACAGGGCTAGTTCCCAGATGTTTGTGGTCCACAGTGTGGCTGATAGCCAAGTCAGCAACTGGGACAGTAGCATATTGCATTTTCCAGAGATGGCTGTGACACTCTCTCCTATCCCTCATGTTCTCACTGCAGTGTGACCTCACCACTCCTCCAAGGCGGAGTCCGAGTCCTCTCTCTGTGAACCTGGCTGACCTTTATGACAGCCTTGGCCAACAGAGCACAACAGTCCATGGTGTCATGGACTTCCACAGTAGGGTGTGAAAGGCAATTGTTTGGTTTTTCCAAATACCCACTGTGTTAGTCAGAGTGCTCCAGGAAAACAGAACCAGTAGAATATTTGAAGAGGTGTATAGGGAAGTTTATTAGAAG